TCTCCTTTTAGCTCAGTGTCAGTGTAATAGGTGTGCAATGGTTATCTTAAGCCTAGTTCATAAAATAAAGGGGCTATCTATGGGACATAACTGGCATAAAATCAGTATGTCTGACTCCAATCATCACCTCATATGTGTCAGTTGTGGGGTGCTCCATGGATTCACCATTGAAACCAATCCCCAGCAAGCTTGGTCATTGATTTTACGTAAGTCTAATTTGAGTACTGAATGGGCCAATTTTGGCTTTTAAGTTAATTTTGTGGCTGAAGTTGCACAAAGGAACTAGTCATTGCCATACAAAAAAACATTGCAAATTACAGAGATGTTTGGCCTAGTGCAAACATTAAACTAACTGATTTAAATTGAAAGAGTAGTAACAATCAAAGTACATTATTTGTTTATTTTTATTTCATGTGTATGATTGTTTTGCCTACATGCATATTTACCACATGTGTGCAATGCCCATGAAGGCCAGAATAGGGCGTCAGATGCCCTGGACCTCGAGTTATCAATGTTGTTAGCTACCATGTGGTGCTGGGAGCCATCTCTTTAGCCCCCCAAATACATTATTAATTAAACACTGACAATGACAATCTTTTTAAAAAGCCTACATCCTTGGGATTGGAGAATGACTCAGTGGTTAAGAGTACTGGCTGCTCTTGCAGAAGACTGGTTGGATTCCCAGCACCCACATGGTGGCTAACAATTGTCTGTAACTCTAGTTCCAGGGAATCCAACGTCCTCTTCTGACTTACACTGGCTTTGCACAACACACGTGCACCTACCCACAGGCGGGCAGTGCACTCGTACGAACAATTGTCTGTAACTCTAGTTCCAGGGAATCCAACGTCCTCTTCTGACTTCCACTGGCTTTGCACAACACAGGTGCACCTACCCACAGGCAGGCAGTGCACTCGTACATGTGAAACAAAAATATTGAAAAGAAAAAGACTAGAGCTTGATTAGAGTAGTGAATGTCATAAATGAGTGACATCCACTTTATATTTGTTTCATTTTATTCTGCTGCTTTTGCAAACAAGACTAAATACCTTTGTGACAAGATTAAATAAAAAGATAAATATATCATATATTATGATTGAACTCTGATTATTGATTTTCTGTGATTATTAGGGTGAGCCTGGTTCCCATGGGTCTCCGGGTTTTCCAGGATTCAAGGTGAGTGTACATCACAGCAGGATGATGAAGAGGTTGTCATTAGAGAATGCAGCTCAGCATTATTCAGACGTTGTCCTGTGTGACTGCTGACAGTAATTGGAGAGGCAGATGCATTCTTCTTTTGTCTTTACTATGTTTATTTTAGTGTTTATATATGCACACATATGAACATGCGCATGCCCCACTATGTGTATGGTGTTCAGAAGACAATTTACAGAAGTTTGTTCTCTTCTTCCACTGTGTGGGCTCTGGAGTTTGAACCTCAGGCTTGGTGACAAGCTCCTTTACCCACTGAGTCATCTCACCCCCACCCCACCCCCCATATCATCTTTTGTCTTTACTATGTTTATTTTAGTGTTTATATATGCACACATATGAACATGGACATGCCCCACTATGTGTATGGTGGTCAGAGGACAATTTACAGAAGTTTGTTCTCTTCTTCTACTGTGTGGGCTCTGGCGTTTGAACCTCAGGCTTGGTGGCAAGCTCCTTTACCCACTGAGTCATCTCACCCCCACCCCGCCCCCCATATCAGTTTTAGTTTTCTGTTGTTGTTGTTGTTTGGTCTTTTTGAGACTGGGTCTCCCTGTAGCCCCAGCTGTCCTGGAACTCACTATGTAGACCAGGCTGGCCTTAAACTCACAGAGGTCCACCTGCCTCTGCCTCCCAAGTGCTGGGACTAAAGGCATGTACCACATGCCTGGCCATATAATTTTTCGTTTTTAAAAAATATTTATTTTTATTTTTATTTTTGGATAGGGTCTCCCTAGCTCCAGCCTGCCTGGAACTCGGTATGTGGACCAGGCTAGCCTCAGTCTCACAGAGATCCACCTGCCACTGCCTCTTGAGGGCTAGGATTAGAATAAAGATCTATTTTATTTATTTTAATTGTGTGTGTGTGTGTGTGTGTGTGTGTGTGTGTGTGCAAGCACACATGTGAATGCAGGTGCCCATGGAGTCCAGGAGAGGGCATCAGATTCTGTGGAGCTAGAATTATAGGCAGTTGTGAGCTGCCTGTTGTGAGTGCTGGGAACTGAACTCCCATCCTTTGCAAGAGCATCTCATGCTTTTAACTGCTAAGCCATTTCTCCAGCCCCCTTTTTAAGTTTTTGAGATGGGATCTCATGTAGTCCAGACTAGCTTGCTATGTAACCATGCAGTTAAGGCTAGTCTTGAACTCCTGATCCACTAATCCTACTGCTGCTACCTCTGAAGTGCCAGGATTACAAGCTTGTGCCACCAGGTGTGGCTTAGACATTTTCATTTTACAGGTTGTAGGGCTGTGCAGCAGATTCAAAAAGCTAAAGCACAGAACTGATAGACCCCAGGAGCAGTTGAGAGTGCATAGAATCTCCGTGAGAGCGTGTTGCTCAGATTGAATCAAGGAAGGTGGTTTTTAGTTTGTAGTATTCTGCTTTTCGAGATGCATATCTATGCTTGGTTGTAGGGAGAACAAGGGCTGGTTGGAGATCCTGGACTGACTGGTTTTCTTGGCCCAAAGGTAAGAAAGTAAACCTGCTTAATATAAAATTTTAGATCCCTGATGCTAGCAAATTAACATTTTATAGTATTTAAAATAATCAAAATGTAACTTTTGAAATAGTTAATTTTGTAAATTTTTTTAATGCATGTTATATATTATGCACAAGCAGTATATTATCATGCCATTATCATACTAAGTGTCACATGAGACATAATTATGGTTGCATTTGACAAGCAATTCCTTTGAAAGTGAATAATAATGAAAGTTTCAAAAATCTCGTGAGATCACATGGCATTGAAATTAGAAACACAGGGAGTCTTAGAGAGACATAGCTGCTTCTACTATTGCAGTATTTTAATTCCTTCTGTGACCAATATTCAGTGCTTGCTCAGGATAAGCCTGCTCCTTTTAGGAGACATGATTAAGGGAGAGGCTAATTTTTTTTAAATTTTTTAATTTTATGTGTGAGTGTACCCATGTTGTGCAATGCCAGAGGAGGTCAGAAGAAGGTGTCAAATGCCCTAGAACTGGAGTTACAGATGGTTGTTAACCACCATGTGGTTCTGGGAAATGAACTCGGGCCCTCTGCAAGAGCAGTCAGTGCTCCTAACCACTGAGCTATCTCACCAACTCGAGAGACAACATTTTACATCTAAAATGAATGTAGATTCAAGTCTTGCTAGGTGAATGAACTATTTGTACTAGAGTACCAAGTTAGATATAAATGCTCAGAGTATACCTGAAAAGCTTAGCGGCATGAACACACGGTAAGCATTTTGTTGGAATAAATACCTTTTCTTGTGTTGTTACTTTGTCTAGTCACTACTTACTTGTATCAAGTGAAAGATCAGATGCACGTTTGTTCTTCCTGGAACTCCATGAACAGCTTATTTCTCTAGTCAGTCAATACTCTTTGCTTCCCTGATGAATGTGCCCATAGTCTTCTAAGCTCTGTTTAGTGCCAGTCAGCATCATTATTTCTGAGAAAAGTAATAAACGAATAATTTCAGGGAGATCCTGGAGACCGCGGGCACCCAGGACCACCAGGTGTTTTGGTAACTCCATTTCCTCTGCTCAAAGGTTTGTGTTCCATTCAGTTCCTCTGTAGTTTATACAGACATGAACTAGACAGGCCTGGACAAAAGAGTCTGGTCTGGTATTCCTGTAGCTTGTACAGTAGACAGGACAAACACATACACACTGGTCATTTAGTAACCTTTCTCAACACTGACAAAGTACCTGACAGAAAGAACTTAAGAGAGGAGAGGTTTGTTTGGGGTTGGGGATCTATCATGGTAGGGAGGCATGGTCTAGAGACTCTGTAATGGGGCAGCTTGTGGCAGAGCTTGGCATAAGGCAGCCACAAAAGATGTACAGTAGACAGGACAAACACATACACACTGGTCATTTAGTAACCTTTCTCAACACTGACAAAGTACCTGACAGAAAGAACTTAAGAGAGGAGAGGTTTGTTTGGGGTTGGGGATCTATCATGGTAGGGAGGCATGGTCTAGAGGCTCTGTAATGGGGCAGCTTGTGGCAGAGCTCGGCATAAGGCAGCCACAAAAGGAAACATGCTACATGGAACCAGAGATGGGCTATCACTTTGAAAGTTCCTTCCCTGAAGTCTTCCACCATTCAAGCCTCACCTCTTAAAGATTCCACAACCCTCGTGCCCCCAAAACAATGCCACCACCTGGGGATCGAGTGTTCACATGCATGGAGAACTTTTCAGATTCAAACCATAGCAATTAGCATGAAGATGTAATGCAATGTACAGGAAGACGTATGCATCTTGGTCTGTGTCCATTGGCATAAAACGTGAACTTTACTTCAATCTGTAAGGGTGTGGGTTTTTAGTATGTCATCTTTCAGAAATTAATTTTTCTTTGTTATGAAAAATGTATAAGATCATTTGACTAACACCTACCAAGAATCTACTGCCCAAGAAAATATTGGCCGAAATCAACGTCGGAAAACTCCACTGAAGGCATGTGTGTCTGTGGAGGAGGGACAGCCAGAGGGGCCTAATTTAACACATGCCATTTAAAACATGTCAAGAAACCACAAATGTGTCCCCTACTCATATTCTACCAAGATTTATAAAGAGTCCTCATGTCTGAATTTTAAAATGTATGTGGTCATTTGTTTTATTTCATCTGTATAATCTTTTGCAGGTCCTCCAGGGGACCCAGGGCCCCCTGGCCACTATGGAGAACTTGGGGATATTGGACCACCAGGAGCTCCTGGGCCCTCAGGCAGACCAGGGGAAGCTTGTCCAGGTATGATTTACCATATTTTACACACTGGATTCCCTAAATCATATCCACAGCAGCAGTCCTCAATTCTAGCTGATATGGAGGTCACCTTAGCAGTATTTATGAAAACTATTGCTGTGCCCACGTCAGATCCAGAATGCTGGTTCTGCTGTGATAACAAATGCCCTGTGTTTCTAATGTCATGAAATTCAAGCCAGTCAAGGAAAGGGATATAGGTTCCTGTGCTGGACTTCAAAACTGGTGAGGCAAGCATTTGTGACAGGCCTTCCACAAGACTGTCACCTTCAGGGAGGATTTGAAACAGCTGCTAGAGCCAAAGTGTTTCCTCAGTTTCTCTGCCATTCTAGAAGCTTCTCCCTGCATCTACCTAGGCCTTAATCTTCTGTGGGAACTATATCAATAAAAACTATGATACAAAAAATGAAACTCTGGGGTCAGGTGTGGTGCCACACACCTTTATTCCCTGCACTTAGGAAGCAGAGGCAGGTGGATCTCTTTGAGTTCCAGACTAACTTGGTCTACATAGTAAGTTTTAGAACAACCAGGGCTACATAGCAAGACCATGCCTCAAAATTAATTGTTGTAAAATAAATATAACTTTGATACAGCCTTACTTAAAGTTAAAGGCTCTTGCTTTTCCTCTCCCAAAGAGAGACAAGGAAAGCACAGGCCACCATGACATTTGACAAAGGCTGAGGAAGAGTCCTGTTGCCATACAGACTGTGGACTCCTTTGGAAGCTGTGCTGGTTAATATTACTTGTAGGATTGGGAATGGAAGCTTGCAGGCTTTTTGTATTCTGTGAACCTAGGAGAACTTTTTAAACCTAGGAGGAGAAAGTCTTGAGTAAATACTTCGAACAGCTTGTGTTTGTTGTTATCTTTACTAAGAAAGGATAAGAAGTTTCATGAGCTCCTCAATCACTAACTACCAAATTCTTGTTTGTCCTCAAATCGAGCTTGTTTGATTTTGTATGGTCTGAGTGACTGCAATCGCAACAAAACTTTGTCAGGTTCACTTAGTTTTCGGAGATGGTAGTCAGTTTAATTGACCCAGGATTATATAAGACAGATAGAACATTCTCTTGGCCAGAAAGCATTAGACTCCAATCTTTCTCCTTTTCGGTTTGTTTGTAAGAAAATAGTGTCTCTAGCAGATTGAAATCAAACCAAATAGGAAAAATAGATTCAAATATATATAAAGGCCCTTAATCCCACAAACTTTCAAAAAGTAAAGTAATCCTTGACTGGGGAGATGGCACAGGCAGTAAAGTATTTGCCATGCAAGCAAAGGGACATGAGTTAGAGCCACAGAACCCATGTAAAAAGAAGCCAGGTGTGACAGTGTGCTCTTATCATCCCAGCACTGTGGAGGCAGAGACCGCCGGATCCTTGAGGCTCATTGGCCAGACAGCTGTATTAGTTACTTTGCTGTCCCTGTGATAAAACACCATGACCAAGGGAACTTAGAGAAGAAAGAGTTTATTTGCACTTAGAATTCCAGGAGAATTAGAGTCCATCATGATGGGGAGGCATGGTGCTGGGAGTGGCCGGAAGTAGAAATTGGAGCACTTAATCTCTAAGCAGGCACAGGAAGTAAGCCTTACACGGAAATCCCCAGCAAAACTTAAGAACTCTTAAAGCCGGGGGCTGGAGAGATGGCTCAGTGGTTAAGAACACTTATTGTTCTTGCAGAAGACTCGGGTTCAAATCCCAGCATCCACATGGCAGCTAACAACTGTCCATAACTCCAGTTCCAGGGGATCCGACAGCCTCTTCTGTCCTCCGTGGCCATTGCAGGACACGGATGAACTTACCTACATGCAGGCATAACACTCATATACACAAAATAAAAATAATAAAACATTAAAAAAAAAAAAAGGAACTCTTAAAGCCAGCCCCCAGTGACTTGCTTCCTCCAGTATGGCCGCACCTTCTAAGATCTCCCAAAACAGCACCACCAGCTAGGGGAAAAATGTTCAAATACTTGGAGTCTACAGGGGACATTCTCATTCAAACCACCACAACAGCCTAGTAGTTAGTAGAGTTGCTGAGTTCCAGGCCAGTAATGACACCCAGATTGATCTCTAGCCTCTGCATGCACACACAGGGGTAAGCCTTCCCCCATGTACACACACACACACACACACACACACACACACACACAGAGCCAAACACACAATATCTTTCAAATCTTGAATATGGCCTATAGTAAGATATACATTTTATTTTGTATTACATTTACATTACATTACACAAACATATGTATATCCGTATAGATTGAAACATAGATTTCACAGAATGATGTATTTTGATATGAGATACACTATATTTTCTATGTCACTCTTTTCTTTTGAAAAAATATTAATGCCACCACAATGTAATTGATTCTATACCATAGGGTTGGGTGGCCAAGGGTGAAATATGCTATACATTCTAGCCCGATGCCTTTGTTGAAAGACAGCCAGGCATCGCCTCATGCACTGAACAAAGCAACAGGTGGCATCTGAGTCATCCAGTGACTGTGGAAAAAAAACAGGTTTGTCTTGAGAAAGGCGTGAAGGAAGACAGGGAGTATCCAAATCAGAGGTGAGCATTTGTATTTGCTCAAAGTGCTACAATATATATATAGCCTGAGACCTATGAGATTTATCTCATAAGGCAGATGATGAAGCACCTCTCCCAGGGGCCACGTTCAAGGAGAGAGAGCATCTAGCCTTTGCATAGGGAAACATCAATATTCTACAATATGAGAGTCAGAGCCATGGAGGGCTATTTTGGGGAAACAGTCTTCGTGGAAAGATTCTGAACCAGGTACTCTTAGGGAGAGGAGCTATAAAAAAACAATCACTCTCACCTGAAGGCTTCCAGCTTCCTTTAAGCTACAGACACCTTCAAGGAGATCCAGATGTCAAGGTTCCTGTTGGGTTGTCTGAGCATAGGAACATTTGTTGAGCACAAGCTCCTTCTAGATACTGTGCTAAATTCTTTTTTAAATATTTTATTTATTATTTTTAGTTTATGTGTATGAGTGTATTGCCTGCATATGTAGAAGTGTACAGTGTCATGCAATGCCCACGGAGGTCAGAAGAGGGCATCAGATCCCCTGGAACTGGATTTACAGACATTTGCTAGCTGCCATGTGGTTGCTGGAAATTAAACCTGGGTCCTCTGCAAAAGCAGTCAGTGCTCTTAATCACTGAGCAGTCTCTCCAGCCCCTGAGTTAAATGCTCTAACATAGAATATTTTACTCAACCCTCCCAACAAGCCAGTGAGGTAGAGCAGAGGATTCCATAGTTGGGCAGCCTACATAAAGTGGGGCACCAAGTTCTAAGTGAATGCCTCTGTGCTTCCCACGGGCCAGGGCTACTGCAACTTGGTATGGTATGTTCTACACAAATGATCAACTGAGTGCTTATTTTTATCCTTATATGTGCTAATAGGTTTGTTTAGATTAATTTTACAAGTTAGTATTATGAAAATATTGAAAAATGTAATAATTTCAATGAAATAAAATATATTCCTGTCCCAATAAACCCAAAGAATGGGGAAAAGCTTAGAAAATCCGATCCCCCTGACTGGTTAGCTTCCACTCCTAAACCTGTTTCAAAGGCATTTGATGGGTGTGATAGGCAGTTATTTTTATAAGCTATATTTTTCTCTTCATTTTTTAATGTGATTACTAAGAGTATTGAGGAATGGCTCCTGAGTTATATCTAGTTAAAAAGCAAAACTTTTGTTTTGTTTTTGTTTGGGGAATACTGTTTCTATGGAGCACAGAATGGACTCAAAGTTGTGATCCTTCTTTTTTTTTTTCTCTTATTTCAGTCCTTTATTGTAGCTCCAATGATGTTGTCAAATATATTTAAGATTCACACACATGAATTGCACATATTGGAGTGTTTTTGGAAACATTAAGAAGTTACTATTAAAATCTAATTTTTTTATAACCTTTTTTTGTCTTTTTTTTTTTATTTAAGCTTTAATTTTTTTAGTTACCAGCATCATTAACCACCAGGGAAAGGCAAACTAAGCCCACAGTAAGACACGGCTATGTCAAAAGACAGAACAGCAAATGCAGAAGAGGATGTAGAGAAGAGGAAATACATTCATTTTTTCTTTACATTTTTTTTATATCTAAGACTTTTTTTTTAATTAGAAGAAGCATTTCATTACAACAGTATTAACCTATTCAATAACATTTTTCTGAGCTAGGGTATATCTCTTTCAAAATTAAAGC